ATACTTTTTGTATTCCCTGTTTTTCACTACAAAATTGTAATATATATACACTTGCCAAAAGTCTTGCAGTACTAATTATATGCAAAATAACAATAAAGGAAATTACAATAATAATTTCGATCATTCTTTGCTAACCGAATTCCCCTTTTTATGAGAGTGCTGAACATGTGACTATATAATCTTTTAGGTAGCATGGTTGTTGTGTCTCTTTACTCTAATGATACCTTAATTGTAAGTGTTGAAGTAAAAATTATGTTTAAGCTTTTAGGGGGAGTGAGTGGAGTGAGTCCTTCAACCTTTACAAAAAGCCTCTTTCATTAAATTTTTTCTCTCATAATTTCATTTATTTTTTAACAAATATAGTTCTAAAAATTTGAAAAAGGTATATGAATTTATAAATAAGAGATGTTTTTTAATGCTCTGTATGATACAAGAATTGTGTCTATACAGCGTGGATTACAATAAATATTTAATATAATAAAAATATTTATTTTTATTTTTAGATATTTTAATATAATTTATGAGAATTTTAAAATAAGTTAACAGAATATTTTAAATATTTATTATTTTGAGATATTCGGTTATAACCCATTCACTTAAATATTATTTAAATATTTATCTAAGTAGTTTGATGCTTAATTGTTTTAGAATCAATTAAATATAATAAATATTATAATATATCTCTAAAAAATATAATTTTTTACAAATATTTTTATTATAAAAATAATCCACTTCAATCTATAATATCCATCAACCATTTAATACATCAAATTTATTATCATATAATTGAACTATTCATTTATATAATTAATTTTTTTAATTATTTACCACAAACATAAACTATAGTATATATTTTAGAATTAATATATATATATATATATATATATATATATATTATGATTCTAATATAAAGTGAATGTCAATACTTATTTTATGATAATTTTATTTATAAATAAGATATTGTTAGATATTTAATTAATAAAATTTAAACTATTTTTAAACTAATGATTTATTACAATTTATTTTTTAAATATTTAATTACTAAATTATTATTAATTGATCGAATTTAATAACCTAACCCGCATCTGTGCTATTCTACAGTACAACCAAATAACACGTCTGTGCCCTCGCTAGCCGCCATCGCCGTTCGTCCGCTGCCCTCGTTTGCTCACCGCCGCCGTCGTTTGCTCACCGCCGCCGTCGTTTGCTCACCGCCGTCGTCGTTTGCTCACCGCCGTCGTCGTTTGCTCACCGCCGTCGTCGTTTGCTCACCGCCGTCGTCGTTTGCTCACCGCCGTCGTCGTTCGCTCACCGACGTCGTCGTTCGCTCACCGCCTTCGCACGCTGGCTTCAGTCGTCGCACGCTGGCTGCAGTCGTCGCACGCTCGCTTCCGTTGTCGCATCACACTATTGCTTGCATTGTTCGTAAACAGTTCAAGGTACGAGATCTTTTTCTTTTTTCTCTTCTCTTTTCTCTCTTTTTTTGCCCTATCTGGGTTTGGGGATTTTGAGGATAAAGAAATTCAAACTGCAAAATTTCTTTATTGAAAAAAGTGTATATAAGTTATTCAAGCTTCCAAATTCGTATCAGCCAAACAATGTGCATACTAATCTTCCTTTTTCATGGGACCCTTCTAAAAGTTCTATTACTGTTACAATGTGCATACTATGTATGTTATTTCAAAACGTGCCATTTTAACGTGGTGGTCAAACTATGTAGAGTCCATCTTGAAAATAAAGGCTTCGGAAATCTTCAATACTTGAATTTGATCACCTTCTCTGGGCACTTTGATATTTTACATTATTATTTCTTCACTTGTTGTGATCTGTGGTGTCATCACCCACCTGCACTGCTTGCTTGACATTTTTGGTTTTTATTTCATACTCCAAATTGATTTTATTTTCCAAGTTGTTATTTTCTCTTTATATTTTGGCATTAGTTGATTAATCTGCAGAGTCATACTCATATGTCAATCATGCCAGTAGTGTATATTGACATGCCAGAATTGGTTATTCTTGTGATGCCTATCATATCAGAATTGGTTATTCCTGTGATAGTTATGGTGACATGCATATATGTTAATTTCAGAACCAAGATTGGCTCATGGGGTCTTATTTAAGAATATTTTACATTTTAAAACTTATTTATATAAGTAATGAGAAAATTGATGTAGAAATTGGTCTTAAATCTACAACATCTACCATCCTGGAACTTCAGGAGAACATCTATACAAAGAACTTTGGTTCTTTGTGTTCATTGATGATGTCTTCTGAAGAAAATTTTGCACGGTTCTTGGGTCCTAGTTCCTAGACACCAAGCTGTATTAGAGGAAATAGGAATTGAATAATGTGTAAGTATCATAGAACAACTGATACATCAGATTGGGTTCAATAGACTGGGGGATGGGGTTACAAATAACAACTTATACCTCAAATTCTACGATTGATGGTGGCCAGTGAATAAGACAATGATATACATATAGATGATTATTAGTCAGTACATGCAGGTCTTTGGATGCATTAATCTGCAAATTAAACCAGTTAATGTTAGAATTTTCTGTTTCATAGGCTCATACTTTTAACCACATTATTCCACAAATTGCCTTAAGAGATTTGGTCTTAAGATGTGAGTTCAAACAGCCTCAGCACTCATGAATAGCACATGACATTTAACCAAGCACGCATCAAGGTACTTCATCTTGGATGTATTGAATAAAGTATGTCCAACACTTAGGGGCATGACGTCAAAGTTGGACTTTGGTGCAAAACAGCTATTGCTCATGTGTTTTGGTATTGATTTACCAACTTTTCACTGCTAAAATTTGGCATGTGATTTATCCACACTTTAGCATTTTAAATATGAATAATAGCTTATGATGTATTTGCTGAAGACTTTAGGATGGTTGACGCGTAACATGAAAAATGTTTTATATTTGGGAGAAATAGATTATGTACCAAGTGTATACTTTGTTTAAATAAGTATACTATGTGTAAAGCTAATATAAAAAAACTGTCTTTATTTTCTTGAAGCTTGCACCAAAGGAAGCTAAATTGGGAGGTGAAGCTTCAATTCCAGATCCATTCAGGTTCAAACCATTCAATTATCTTTTATATTGTTTTCAAACATACATTATTATTTTATCCTTCTTATGCCCATATTTCTTTGAATATTAACTATAGGAAAAAATATATGCCCTTATTCCAGACCATATAACCCCAACTAGAACTCAGTAGATAACATATAAGTAGCCTCCCTGCAATACAATAAACTTATCCTGCATACAAACAGACTGCCTCAATAACACTATATATGCTTGTTCTGTAATTGCTGACATCACCACTCCCAACAATGACTTTTCATACCACTAGGCACCCATATAATTTGTTTAGCATGGATTTCCCTGCACTCCAAGATGCCTATTGCATAATAGGTTCAGAACCACTAGGCACCAAGATGGCTAAATAGCATATGTATTAACCCTTATAATGATTGAGAAAATATGTTAACTAATTAAATATAAATTGTGTAAGAATAAGAGTAGTTTGCATCATCAAATTGGAATGGTGTTACCAAACATAGTTGTTTGATGTGATTGATAAAATTAAACTTGAGATGCCTATTTATGAATCTAAATTCTTGCATAATAGTGTTGAGAGGCCCCAACAATAGCCATTCTTAGTGACAACCCGCTGTTTGGATTACCATTTGGAATAAAAACACCAATAATAAAAAACCAATGGTGTTTTGGATGACATATCATTGACACGTGTTAAAACAGAAAACAAAACATAGACTTTTATTTGTATTCCATGAGCTAGTTTAACGGGCTTGTTCCAATTCCTTCACTCCAAAACTACCCACCACAATTTTGACCTTACAGTGAATATGGAGAGAACATATAATTATTGCATTAAATATCCAAAGCATGAAAGACAAAAAATCAAATTTGATTTAGACCCATTTCGGGCCCATGTTGAGGCACCAAAGAGCCAACACCAATCTAGTCCAATCCACCAAAATACACCTGAGTTCACCAACCTGTCTTTCATTCTCAATTACCGAGACGAAACATTTGAAGGCAAAGTTGGCCAACCAACCTACATGACTACACTTATTACAGGAACCAAATTCTAACATTTTGCCTGGTAGGCTGAAACCATCTAATGATATAGTATGGGAAACCCCTCTGCATCCAAAAAGAACATGCTGCCGATGAGCTCCACCCTTATGTAAATACATGATGCAAGCATTTGCCTCAGGTACCCTTTTCCCTACGCTAGTACTGAAATTCTATTGGAACAATTTCCCACTTAAAGCTCAGATCACTTGCAGGTGTCCCCCACCATCACTAGACCACCTAAAGTCACCTTGGAAGGACCCCAAGATCATATGAAGCAATCCCGACACACCTTTGCATCTGTCAATCCTTATCCATCTAGAACAATTTTTTTCCACAAATTCTTGAAAAAAATCCAAGACTCGCCCCCTTCTCAGTTCTATTCTATAACATACCCTGAAATCAAACCCTCCCATGATAAATTGATTTGATCACTTATGCTGGCAAGTTATGACTTATCAACATATTAACACTTGAGTAATGTCCAAAACAAGTATTGTATTTCTTAAAAAAAATAGATTTATTAGACAAATTGAGTACACTTTTGGCTTTTCTAGAGAATTTTTGAGAATTCTCTGCATTTTTTTTCCACCTTGTTTTAATTTGTTCATAAATTTGTTTGTTGAGGCCTGATTTATTTGGGACTATGTGGCCTGATTTAATTGTCAATGTATTGGACAATTTCCTTTCTCTTAAATAGTTGAGACCTTTTTTACCTGGATTTGTTTTATCTTGATTATATTCCCGATTCATTTTAATATTCACTAAACTACATTGTTTCATAAACAGAATGGTATTTCTTATTTCACTTGCAAATTTTCTAATGCTTAAAATTCAGGTAAGAAATATAAAAGCAGGAAACAGGGAGTTGACAGTAACGGTATGGTGGTCTCCAGTACAAATCCCCACAACAAGGAGATAGCCATCAGGAGGAGGATTTCTAGCATGTAAGACTTTTTCATTTTTTATTGCATTGTAATGATTGTATATTTTGCTTGTTTCATATAACTGACATGCGAAATAATGATGCATCCTATGTGATATGTGTCTGGTTTTCAACTTGTGGTATGAAAATAATGCAAAATTTAGACTAAAGTAATCCTGCAGACTTTGCCCGATAAATTGTCCTTTCTTTGTGTATGAAATGAAACATGATTTAAATTGAAATAGTTGAAGTTAATATAAGGTACATTTGTATGATGTTAATTTTGGAGTGTAGTCTTGCATTATATTGCTTTTATTTCTTTCTTTTTTCATGTTGTAATATGCTGCACTACTACATAACCAATTTTCAAGTAGAATAATTCCAAGTAAATTAATCAATTGAAATAGAAAAACTGATACAAATTTACAGAATATGTGTAGAGTCATTGCTGAAGGGTCTAATTGTTTAAGGTATAGGACCATCTGCTTGGTTACTTTGGTTGGTTTTGTGGCTAGGAAAAAAGAAGCTGGGATATTGGCATGAAATGAAGAATTTTTGTTTCTTTCAAGAGCCAAGCTTCCTAATCTTAATGTCAATCATATTTAGAGTTCTTAATGAATAGATATACGAAGGAAATGGGTTGTGTGATGACTTTGTAGGTTTTCACTGTTACAGACCCAAAACTCCAGACAACAGAATATCAAGAATTGAGAAAAAAAAAAGTAATCTTGATCTTGGATGATGGAAAAAAGATTTTACAGAAAGAATTAACTTCTACTGAATGACAAAATCACTCTGCTCATACAGAAACCAAAATAGCATATTTTTCTATCCTTTACTCTCCCCTCTCCCTCTATGAAATACCCCCTAGTACTCCTGACACAGTTACATCCTTTGTACATCATTTTTTTGTTTTCACCCCTTTGTTTCTCCTCACATACATCCTCCATATTTTGGGCCTTCCAATTTAGGGCCAGGCACACACTACCCATCCTATCATTTACTAAGTTAAATATTTTGTAGAATGGAGATAAGTATCATGATCATGACACCATATTCAGCATTTCGATTCTTACTGTATTTGGCCATTTTAATTCCAATTCATTCAATTATCTAATTGTGCTAACTAAATTGTAAATTTATAGATTTAATAAACGTGAAGACGATTTCTCATCTCTGAGAGAATATAATGATTACTTGGAGGAAGTAGAGGACATGAGTAAGTTTCTATCACCTTGGTTTCAGCTGTTTCTGCTGATAACTTTAGCTTTCTTTTCATGATTTCCTCTCCTTTGCCCATTGCAGCATTTAACTTGATTGATGGAATAGATGTTTCGGCTATTGAAGAAAAAATTGCTAAATACCAGGAAGAAAATGCAGAACAAATAATGATTAATCGAGCTCGGAAGGTACATCTGAGAATAGATTTTTCATTGATGGTCTCTTTCATATATGGCCTTTATTCATCTCAGTAATATGTAGTATCATATGAATCTTTTCTGGGTATCTCTCAATCACAGAAAGAGTGCAATTTAAGTTGTTACGCAAGTGCAGATTTCCTGTCATATTTGTAATGTTTTTGTTTGCTGATATTAATTAAACAGGCTGAAGAGTTGGCTGCAGCTCTGGCAGCAAGTAAGGGACAACCTGCACTAACTGATAATGATGGGGTAAGTATTAGCTGGAGAGTTGTTTAATTTTACTTTTTCTTTTTGGCACAGTATTCAAACTTTATTTAGCTTGGACTGGTATGTGAGATTGGGCTTCTAGTGTTTTCATTTTACTGCCTCTGTTATATATATTACCTGCACAAACCGGCTACTTCCTCTGTTTCATTTGTGAAATTTTTTGTTTGTTTTTCCTTAAATAAGTTTTAAAAAGAAAATCATGTTAGTTTAGAAAGACAAAACGAGCCAAAATTATCACTACATAACAAGCTCTGGGGCATAGCGAGACAGAACATTTAATGGTTGATGATTTATGTGAGGGTTTTGCAGCAGATGGGATGCCTGAAAGAAGTGATCTGACAGGGTACTTTATATATGAAGTCACTGTGAAAATTTAGATTCATTTGACATGAAAGTTATATGTATCCGTAATATATCTGACTAATGGGGTTTGCTAGCTGTTGTGATACCGCAGCTGTGAGATTTTTAATTTGAAACTTTTGTAACTAGTATGGTTTCAAAACACATGCAAGGAAAATGTCCTTTCAACTGGATTTCAACGGCTTTCAAGACACATTCAACATTCCCTATTCTCTATACTCTTGGTGCAGGCCACAAACCCAAATTCTCAAGCAGGATTTGGTGCTGTTCCTCAGGGACAGTATGCACCTACATTTGGAGGACAGCCAAGACCCACAGGTATGGCTCCACAGCCTTTACCACTTGGAGGGGGTGACATGCTGGGCTTTGCAGGTGATGATAAGGAATCAAAGAGGCTACGAGAGGAGAGAGAAGCGAGGGCTGGGGGATGGAGTACAGAAATTAGTAGGAAAAGGGCACATGAAGAAGCCTTTGGAAGCCTGTGGGTTTGCTGAGACAATAATAATATTCATGCAAGGCAGGATATGCTTATTGGTGTTCATGCGAATTCCAGTGTCACTAAAGCTATTTTTTGCATGGATATTTCATTGTATATTTTGTAGAATGTAAGATTTGTTTCATTTTTGTTTCGTCAACAGTAATGAATTTTATTTCAAGTTGTTTTGGCTATGTTCAACATAATTAGTTGGAAAGCTAATTGAAATTTGAAAGCTAATTGGTATCGGATACCTAAAAGTTTCTTGACATTTGGTAGATTGATATGTTAAAATAACTGAATATAATATGACACTAATGAATATGTTATTTAAATTTTTGAAAAACCTAATTACAAACAAATGTTTTAATTATCTATATATCTACATTTATATTTTTTTATGCATTCTACTATTTTATATGAAGCTATATTTTAAAATATTTTTTATTTATATTTAAAATAGTGTAAAATATAATGGTTTTTTTGACGTTAGTCTAATAGAAAAAGTCTATTATATTTCAATATGTGTATGTCTAATGTCAAAATAACAAAATAAATGTTGTAAATAGTTTAAATATAAAAATAAATAATGTAATATAAAAATAGAAAAAAACTACTATCTTGTAATGAAAAGTAAAACTAAAACCTGTGGTATAAAAATTTGATCAATTTTTATCTTGTGAAATAGAAAATATAAGAAGGGAAAGTGAATAAATTGTTTAATGATAAAGGAGAAATAAATATAAGAAGCTTCAAGCTAGAGCATTCTAAAATATGTAAGCAGTGTCTAAAAAATGCTTCAAGCTAGTAAAAATAAATTTGTTTACAAACTTCTCAGTGAATATATGTTAGAAGTTAATTAAAAAATCTTACAAAACAGCCTTTGACTTTAAATTGTATCTCTTTTTCCCTTTTCCTTGAAGATGTTAATTATTTTAAGAAATAACTTAATTTGAATTGATGGATTTATAAATAAAAAGTAATGTAATAGGTTGCAGGGATAAAAATGCTAAAGAATGACCAAATCATAGAAAAACCTGAAATAGAATATTTCGTTGTTGTTGAAAATTTACGTACCTTCTACCATAATTAATAATGCAAAACATTAAAAAAATATATATATATATATATATATATATATATATATATATATATATATATATATATATTAAATACCAAACATAAAACCTTACTAGCCACATAAAATTTATACATGACAATCAATTCAATTAAATATTACTTATTTTTAAGATAAGAAATCGAGAAAAAAAATCTTAATAAATTTGGTGATCTAATTTCATCTAATAACTAGTTTATTGGATGAAGTTCAAAATAAATAAATGAAAAGGAGTACATATTTATTAAAATTTAAGTTAGAGTTGAAATCACAAATTCAATTGAATAGCATATAATTGGGAAATAATCACAAATTTATTACCTTAAAGTTTTAGGTTAAAGATTGACTCATTTTTTTATATAATTATTTTGCCTCAGTTAACAACGATGTTAATACCCTTTAAATGAGGATGCTCATGTGGAGCAACCAAGAGAATATGAAGAATAGGACAGGTTGTATAAAACTTTGTATGAATTAAAACAAGTTTCATTATTTTGGTTTAGTCGAATTGAAACCCATTTAATTGATAAGATAGTGAACAAACATTATTCACCAAGAGAAACAAAAAAGAAAAACTTAAGGGGGAAAAGTTATCATGTATGAATTCAAAAATTCTGTGTAACGAGAGTTTGATATATCTAATATGAGAAGATGAGTTTTTTTTTTTCTTGGGATTAAGGTGTCACAAAGACTTTATGGTATTTATATATGCTAAAATACATTAAAAGGCTTGAGGAGGTTTAGTATGTAAGAAAGTAATTCAGTGTGGAGTCTAATAGTTTTAGGTTTCAAAATGATCAAAGATGAAATTAGAAACTTTGTTGATGAAATTTGTTATAAGCAAATACTTAGAGTTTGATGTACCTCGTTACCACAAGACTTAACATGATGTTTAGTGGATATTCACTTGCAAACAGTTAAGAGAGTACTTTGATACCTAAAAGGGACTGTGAATTATAGAATTTATGATAAGATAACAAGAGATGGTGAGCTCTTAAGATTCATAGATAATGACTATGCAAAAGATATGGAAAATAAGAAAAATATATATGGTTATTTGTTTTTAAGGAGTTCAGGTGTTGTCTTATGGTGTTAAAAGAAAAAACAACCTATCGTAACTTTATCAACCATAAAAGTAGAATTTGCAGCAACTACTATTTGTTCTTGTCAAGGAGTTTGGATGAAGAGAATCTTAAAGAAGTTTGGGCATTCTTATGGAGATTGCACAATTGTAATGTATGATAATAACTCAACTATTAAGTTGTTTAAAAATCATGTTATGCACGACCACAACAACCATATTGATGTGAGATTTCATTTCTTAAAAAATCTTACCAAGGAGGGTATAACTAAATTAGTTCATTGCAAAAGTCAAGTGACAAATATAATGACCAAGGTATTCAAGGTTGAAGTTTTTTAGAAGCTTCAAAAGTTAATAGGAGTGTGTGACATTTTTTATATAAATTAATTGCTTCATAACACTTAGTTTAAGGGAGGAAATGAAGGAGTTTAATGTAGTGTTTTTGTTTCTGGATAATATCTTGGTTTACAAAGAAGTCCTAGTCTTTAGGAATATTTATCTATTGATTTATCATTTCAATTACCACTAGCCTTTATTTATGCTAAATGGGCATTTTGTATTTATTGGCTATTTAAGCCAAGGTTGAGTTATCATTTGAGATAAAAGTTCTTCACAATATGGTACTAGAGTTCCCCACTAGGCCTATACATCAAAGCAACAATCTTTGAATTCTTGCAGTAACATAAGAATATAACTACATAAGGGAGCTTCATACAATCAACCATTCCATGTTTTGATAGTCACTATGACCATTAAAGCATGTTCATGAAATTTTTCATTTGATGTGAGGAATATTGGAAACTAATATAGTCTGCCTATGTTGCAACAACAATGGTATAGACAAAAGCATAACAAAAGAAAAACAATGATATGAAATTGAAAGATCTTGAAATGAATAACTATCTCTTTCAGGCAATTGATGAAACTATTCTCGACCCCATTCTCAAAAAGGATACTTTTAAAGAGATATGAGATGTTATGAAGAAAATGTTTGAAGGACATGCAAGGGTAAAAAGGTCTCATCTTCAAGCTCTTCATAAAGAATTTGAAGTTCTTGAGATAAGGTTTGGTGAAGTAGTCAGTGAGAACTTTTCTAGGATCATGATAATGACCAACAAAATGTGAATATGTGGAGAAGTTATGCCAAATGTTCTATTAAAGAGTCAAAAGACATTGATGCCCTTTCTGTTGATGAGTTACAAAGCTCATTAATAATACATGAACAAAAGTTTTAATGACTTAATGGCGAAGAATATGCTTTGAATGTGACATTCGAAGGAGAAAGAGGAAGAGGTCGAGCAAATTTCAATAAGGCAATTATATAGTGTTATCATTCTCATCTATTTGGATATTTTTATTATGAATGTCCTCAAAACAAAGAAGTAAATTATGATGAGATTGATTAAGAAGAATAAATGTTTTTCATGTATTATGTGGAGTTATATGAGGTAAAAAGAAAAGATATGTGATTCCTTAATTTAGGATTTCTAATCACATGTGTGATGATTCAACTATGTTCCATGAACTTGATAAAAAATTTCAACATTTTATCAAATTGGGAAACAACACTAAGATGAATGTAATGGTAAAAATAATTGTGAAGTTGATGTTAGATAGAATAAATCTATAGGTCAAATTTGAGGAATAATTTCTAAGTATAAGACAATTATATAAAAAAAAGTTTGGTTATTTTGATTAAGGAAGGAATGCGTAAGTTATTTCATATAAAGAAATATTTGATAATTTACACCAATATAAATATCAATAGAATGTTTATCTTAATACCTTAATTTTTGATAATAACCATTGAAAAAAAGAAATGATTTCTTATTTATATTATTCATAATTCAACAAATGATTCAATCATTAACAATAATCAAATTAATAATATTAACGACAAAAAGAAGTTAATATATATATATATATATATATATATATATAATTAACTTATATAAATATTACTGACAAAAATTCATGTAACCCTTCTCAAGAACTCTAGAACGATGATAGATAAAATAATTACCTAATCATTCTAAATATATTACATATTAGTTAATATTATAAATTATTATAATTTTCTATCTTAAATGTTTTCTATTTTACTTTTATAAATATTTTAAATTAATTAATATTCTAAAATATAAATAAAATTAATTATTTTATTTCTAATCTCTCCAAGAAAGGAAGACTAATATAAATTTGTAAATAAGATGTTTTTCCATTTGGTATCCATCCCCAGTTGTTCTGTTTATACAGATAAAAAAAGAAATTACATAAATAAAACTAATATAATTATTAAAAAAAGTAAAATTAGTTCAATATAATTGTTTTAATAAATAATATATTTTTCATTATTTTAAGAAACATGGTAAATGATTACTAAAAACACTACAATTAAAAAAAAATGCAAAAAAAAAAACAATGACACAAGTTCACACAAAAAAAAACAAGATTCGTCGAAACTGAGGCAAAACCTACGTAGGTTGCCCTAATATCATCTAATTCTTCTCAGTCAAGCTTTCGAATTCGGTGAGTACCCGTTCCCGGCATTTTATAGTATGTATAATCCAAGAAATTTCTTCATGACTTTTTGCAGATCCTGAAGGAAGGGGTTTAAGATTGCTTAACAAATCAAAGTTTGATGACATTCTAAAGCAGCTTCATGCACCATTGCTCTTTGCTGTCAAATGACGAATGTGAATTCTTATACTGAGTCTAGTTTCTTTTTTTAGATGGACTGAGTCTAATCTATTTGTTTCGAGATATAATTTTAGGTGTAACCATTAATAATGATGTGTAAGTATCATAGAACACCAGCTGC